GCTTATGGATTTCATCATAATACTCGCATTGCTGTAATATTTCGAAATTGTAAAAGTTGACTTCCAAATCGCTGACCTCATTAATAAAGTTTCTTATCGTCTCCACCTCTTCTTTGATTTCTTTCTCTATCATATCCTCTCGTTCCTCATGAGATTTCACTCGAGCCACTGCCATTTCCAACATCTCCTGGCTTTCTTTTCTGGAAATTCAAAGATACCGTATAGCATAAGCTCAGCCAAACCGTCAAGTTTGAGCTAAAATAAAATGAGATATATGAGCTCAAAGTAAACGGTCTGGGGAGCATACAATGAGTGTTAGTCAACTTGGAGGCAATACAAAAGTGTATAAAAATATTATGCTTTGTCTGAAAATTTCACAGTATACTGAACTAATTAAGGGCTTAATTTTTGTTGTCGGCATCTCTTTCCTAGCTACCGTAGTTTTTAAGATATGCGCTCCCAGGATCAGTGAGTGAGAGAGAGAGAGAGAGAGAGAGAGAGAGAGAGAGAGAGAGAGAGGGAGAGAAAGAGTGGTACCCTAATTTTAAGGACGCATATCTCAAAAACTACGGTAGTTAGGAATATTCCGAAATTTCCTTACCTAATTTTCGCGATGTAAGCCTTTCTCTGTATCTGTCGATGATCAGAAATCAGCTCAAATTCATTCCGTGTCGTCCATTTCTCTTCTTTCACTTCTCTTGCTCTTTTCCTTTCTTCTTGAGTCTTTTTGGCTCGTTCGCGTGCCAATCGACGCTTCTCTCTCAGTTTTTCGTAATATTTGACACGATTTGGCATATTGTATAGAGAATAAAAAAGAAACGAAATAGAAGTTTTCGAGAGGAAATTGAAAAATTGATGGAGTTGGAGTAGGATTTATTATAGGTGCATGGATGAGTGGTTTTCTCAAAACCGGAAATTGGTTTTTCGTTGGCGATTCTGAAGTTTTTTGTGCGGATTCTAAAGTTGCGATGAATCTTCTTAACTTGAGAATTAAAAATGTAGGGTCAAACCTCGGAAGATAACAGATCATGGAAAGAAATCTGAAATATGAGGCTTTTCTTGTTCACCCAAAATTTTGATAGTCATATAATGGCAATACTATCCTATTTAGACATTCGAAAATTAGAAATTCGAGTTTCTCAGATTGCGAGCATTAAAACGAGCTCCATCATGACCAGGGATGGTCGGAGTCGGATAATTGGATATCCGATTATCCGTGTTTTGCAGATAATTTCGGATAAATTATCCGACGGATAATTATCCGGAGATTTTATTCGGAGAAATTATCCGACGAAGAATTCTCCGAATTTTTTTTCCGGATAAACTCGGATAATTTCTCCGACAGAGACAAAAAATATCCGAAAGTTGAACAATCAATAAAACCAAAATATTGCTTTCTGCGGTCTTGCGGATGTTAGTTTCACCCTCTTAGGTGCTATCAATGTTGTTGTTCGTCGAAAAATTGTGTTTTTGAGTCGCTCGCCTCGATAAAAGGCCAAAAAACGTTTTATCCGAAATACTCCAAAATTATCCGAAAAAAGTCGGAGAAAAAGTCGGATATCCGATTCTCAGAGAAAAATTTTCGGATAAAAACTCGTGTATCCGATTATCCGAAAACTTTTCTCCGACCAAGCCTGATCATGACCCACTTTGCTCTATTCCGAGTTTTCACATATCAACCGTGCCGCACGACCGCGACGCACCCCGAAAAACTAAAATCTGATGATAATCAGTGTTTTTAATACAATTTTGGGTCAGATTTTTAAAGGATTTTTTGAATTCTAAGTCTCCCAAAATCTGAAGGACTCTGGAGAAATCTAATCCCAAACCCGACGTCATCATTCTAACTCATCAAAATTTCAGTTCTAAATTTAGTTATTCCTACATGAAGACGTCACAAAAAACAAGAAAACATAAATCCAAATACAAAAAATTCATTTTTCAAAGAATTTTTCTTTCATTTCTTGACATCTTTAATCTCCGTTTTCTCCTTGTTGGGTGATGCCGTCACATTCTTCTTCTTCCCTTTTCTAGTCTCATCACTTTGATCATTTTCCTTTTCCTTCTCCTTTTGCTCCTTTTCCTTTGCATTTTTCTTCGAGAAGTCCTTCGTCGATGCACCATCTTCCACATCCAAATCAATCACTTTTCCATCTCCCGGACACTCGACCGGTCCGGAATATGGGCGGTCCGGATCCCAATCGATCGGATCGTTATCCTTGATTTTGTTGGCAGTGGCAGCGTGTTGGACACAGTAGTAGATGAACTTGTAGTCAGGGACGGCGTAGTAGCCAAGGGTGTCGATGTACTAAAAATAACTCATATCTATCGGAATCTAGATTTTCGAATCTCACCTTCAAAATTCTCCCGAATTCCTTTTTGGGACAATTATAGAAGAAATCATCCTGAATATCCGGCTTACTTCTCACTTCGTTCTTATAAATCAGTACTTTATCACGATCCGATGCCTTCAATTTCCGCCACGGAAGACCTCCAGAAGTCCATTCAACCACCATATACAGCCATGATTCAATATCATCTTTTCTTGATTGATCCTGCTGAAGCATTGCAGCCAGTGGAGCATATCGAGTTGTTCCTCGGAATGGAGCAGTTGCACGTGGAGCTCTCATATCTTTTCCTTCAGCTCGTTTCACAAATTCACGACACAGGCCGAAGTCAAGCATGAAGATCGTATGGTGCTCATTAGACTCCGTTCTTCCAGCTGCGAAGTTTCCGGGTTTGATGTCACGGTGAAGGTAGCCGAACTAAAAAGAAGACATTCCGATGTGAACTAGTGAATTCAACATACACTATGAAGATGTTCGATAGACACCAGACACTGAGCGGCAGTCTTCAAGGCAGTACCCAATGAGAATCTTCCATCCGGACGATCTTGTCTCAAATCCCACAAATTCTTTCCAATCAACTTCATCACAATGAAATTGAATCGATCCTTGACATTTGCCCGATCGAGAACCGTACAAAAATGACGACTCTTGATTTGAGTCGCCCCTTTCATCACATTACAATCCATCAGAAGCACTTTCTTTGCTGCAGCCGCCTTCTCGCATTTGATGGCGAACTTCTCCGAATCGCTTTGACGGAGCACCGAGTACACTGCTCCGTAACCTCCTTTTCCGAGCAACGCGATAACTTTGTACTTGTCTTTCTTCGTTTTCAGCATCTCTTCATCTCTTGGTAGCACATCTTCTGTTTCATCCGAAGACATCATCTTTTATGATTGAGAAGATCCCTGATTCAAACTGGTTTTGTTAGGCAGTTTTAGCTGGAATTTATAGTGGGGAGGTGTAGAGATGAGGGTTAATGATAGCTGGCCACGTAGATAAGCAGAAGACCATGTTACTATGTACCGTATCTGTGACTGTGGCCGAAGGTCCCACAACGACAATTACCGTAACCTAAAATGTTTTTGTTCTCGGAAGCTTTTTTTCGCGACTTCCGTACGTTTTCAGTCAGTTTTTTAAAAAGTATTATGGGGTTATTCAGGTGAGACAAAATAACCCGGCAAAAACTCCGAGAATGAACCAATCTGGATAGAAAGTGACTTGAGTTTTTGCTATTTTTAAAGGTTTTTGCCAGGTTTTTTGCCTCAAATAGCCCCATTAAAAATTTAAACTTTTGGTTTTTAGGAAGAAGCAGATAAATTGACGGAAAACAATGAAAAACAACAGTTTCGTTGGATCCCTTCAGAATCCCTTCATTCGTTCCTTCCATATTTCTTTTACGGTTCATGCAAAATGTTTAAGAATGCTTTACGCTTTCTCCAACTTCCCATCCCTGTGTTCGTCATTTTTACACTAATTTCCAAAACCTTTCAACAGAATTATCTTCCTTTGTTACCCCTATTATACACTCTTGCGTCCCTTTTCCAATTCCATTTTCTTCTCACATGACCCTTTTCTCTTTCTTTTCTACCCCGTTCTCTCTCATCCAAACCAGTCCCTTTCCGTGCTTGCATCATCATGATCGTCAATTTTTCAAGATTATATCTGTCTTCTTTCACTTCTCAACAAACACCTCTTTCCGTACTTTCCGCACTAAAAAACATGTTTGCGTTGTGTGTCGCCGCGTCCCAGTTTGTGTTTTTTTTTTCGAAACGATCGGCTCTTATACAATTCAGGTGATAACAATGTATCATAGAGCAAAGTTCGCTCAGCAAAATAGTTATGACGTGGCAATAAGATATTATGAAATCATCTGAAATTTTCAGTCGTCATCTAGATCTAGAAACTTCTAGATAACCACCAGACACTATTTTGTAATTCAAATCATAGTGCGTTTTTTCTAGTCCTCTCAAACTGGAAATTCGTCTTCCTATTCCATTTTTCATAACCCCTAACCGCACCTGGTACCGCCAGCCAGGTGCTGTCATTCTCTCATTTTGTTTTCGCCTTTTCCTTTTTCCCCGACTAACTAAAAATTTTGAAAACCACCGCACAAAAACACTCGTCATGTCTTTTCTTCCTTTTTAGTACTAAGAGACGTCTCCTCTTTATTCTATGAAAAACAAAAACAAGACTCTTTTTCGATAAAAGAGTTCTTATCGAAAAAAAAAGAGCCTTCTTCTTGGTATGCTCATTGAGCTTGTTTTGTCAAAATTTATTTTTATCGAGCGCGCTTTTCGTGTGGTCACTCCTCTTATCACAAGGTTTGATTCCTCACGTGTTGTTCGTTTCCTAACACACTCAAACATCATAATGATGATAAAAGGAGAAGTTCAATGTTGTGTAATGTTTCAATGGGAGTGGGAACAATAATTTAAAACTGCAGTCATGACTCAAATACTGGAAAGACTACTTTCTTTTTCATTTTTTTCATTTTGCAGGTTCTTAAACTGTTTTTGAGGTTTTCGAAAATGTCGAAATCAATCGCAGAGACAGTATTTTAAAGGTGGTGTACGGTGAAAACTTTTATTGCAGCAATATGTGCAGAAATGTATGTAGATTGACATAAAAATAAAGAAAAAATTCAAAAAAAAATCCTTCATCGAGAAAAACGCATCGAAAAATACGCTGAAAGCCCTTAGGGACGAGGTTTTTTCTAGGCCGCCCGGCGAGTAAAAGCGCGCAAATTCAAACTTTTAAAATTTTTTCGCTTGTTTTCACTGTTTTTTCAAATTTTCCGATGTATCTGGAAGATAAATTGACAAAAACCTAGAAAACTCTTGAAAAAACAAAAAAAGTGAAAACGAGCGAAAAAATTTTAAAAGTTCGAATTCGCGCGCTTTTACTCTCCGGGCGGCCTAGAAAAAACCTCGTCCCTAAGGGCTTTCAGCGTATTTTTCGATACTTTTTTCTCGATGAAGGATTTTTTTTTGAACTTTTTCTTTATTTTTAAATCGATCTACATGCATTTCTGCACATTTTGATGCAATAAAAAATTTCACCGTACACGACCTTTAAAGGAGCGTGCATCATAAGACGCGCTGGGTCTCGCAACGAACGACACGCGCACGCGGCAAACGAGCGTTCGCGTGCGCGTTTTCTTGGCAACTCGGCTCAGTCTTCTCGTTTTCTCCCCCAATGGGTGGTGACCCCCTTTATTCCTCCGTTTGTTTTACTCCCTGACAGGGAGTCCCTGCTATGCTATTCTCGATTGTTTCGATTTCTCCTCGCAGTTCTGTCTTTGGGACCTGCTATCATCTACGGTTTGTATGTATGATTTCTGCGCGCTTTCCGCTCAGAAAACGTTTTTGGTCGCTAGGCAACAGTCATCGATTTTTGCCTCATTCGTAACAGCGCTCTCCAAGGGAGTTTTCCACTTCTCCTTTTCGTCTATTCCTTGCTAATCCCATCGCTCAGGACATCGATCGCTTTCTCTATCTCATCACATGATTTTCGAACTGGTGCACTTTCGTGTGCGTCCATCTGTCATGAACTTTCCCTCGCGAGACGCTCGTTCATCTATTAGTACGCTGCTCTAGTCTAGACGTGCGTTCCAGAACAATTGCTCAATTTTACTGACTTCTCTGCGATGACATCACAGGTGCCTTTGACCGAGAGATCTTCCCTGTGATAGCTCATCAGCTGTTAGGGAGAACATCTGAACATGCCAACTGTTCTCTTTCTAGTATTTCATCATTTATTGCAACACCAAGAAATTTACTTTGCTTCTCAAAGATGTAACCAAACGTGTCATCTGGTATCGCTTTCATTTGAGAAGCAAAAGAAACTGGTCGCCCTTCATCGTTTCATGTTAGGCAGGGCAAGAACACACAATCGATTCTCGCTTCCTCCCAGCACACAATGTGTCCTCTTCTTTCATAACACTCCTGCCCTCCTCTCTTCCCTACACAGCGCGCTCTAGAATGTTCTTTTTGTGCGATTTGCCTGCTTGCTGAGTCGGTCATATCGACTGCCCCCTCCCTCCTCCCTTTCCTCATCCTTCCTCACTGGTTGGGTATAATACGCGACTCCTCTTCATTCGGTCATTCACCATCGAAAACAAACGTGCGCTCGCTAACATTTTTGTCCCAGTTATCGATTTCCCTAATTCGAAATTCCAGTCAACGCGCTCGCTGTAGCTCCCATTATTCTTGCGTGTGCGCGCACTGAAAGTTTCGGTTACCCTTGACTGCCAACGAGAGCAAGGTGAGTAGCTTTCTGACTTCTGAAACTTTCCAGAATCAGGATTTCCTATCGATTGAAATCTCGCTTCCCCGTAGTTCTGCCTCGTTCCGCGTCATACCGCAGTTCCCAATCATTGCTCACTTTTTTGGTTAGAGAAACGAGAACATCAGCTGAGTCTCTGCGTCTCCAGCCATGACACATGAGAGGCGGGGTCTCCGCGCGCGCTGTGTTACTATTGATCGCCAACCAGGCAGCAGTCATTCGCTTCAGTCGTCCAGAACGCGCCGCTCGCGTGCCACCTCTCCTCTCCTTGCCTGAATCATCTCCTAGATTGGCTCTCACTTCCTTTGTCTATCCTCTTCTCATTAAAATTTCCCAATTTGTATGATTTAGCTTCTCAGTAATGCTGAGTCACTAAAGTTAGTTTGTTCGCGGTCTGAATTGATTTTCGAAAAATTTCGCAATGCTCTCGAATGTTCTTCTACTTCGTGATCTTATATAAAGCCTCTCTCGCATTCATTCATTCAATTCTTTTTTTTTTCAGCAATCATGCAAATCTTCGTCAAAACGTTGACAGGAAAAACTATCACCTTGGAGGTGGAGGCTTCCGATACCATCGAGAATGTCAAAGCCAAAATCCAAGACAAGGAGGGAATCCCACCAGACCAGCAGAGACTCATCTTCGCCGGAAAGCAGCTTGAGGATGGAAGAACTCTTTCGGACTACAACATCCAGAAGGAGTCCACTCTCCACTTGGTGCTCCGTCTCAGAGGAGGAATGCAAATCTTCGTCAAGACACTCACTGGAAAAACCATCACTTTGGAAGTCGAGGCTTCCGATACCATCGAGAATGTCAAAGCCAAAATCCAAGACAAGGAGGGAATCCCACCAGACCAGCAGAGACTCATCTTCGCCGGAAAGCAGCTTGAGGATGGAAGAACTCTTTCGGACTACAACATCCAGAAGGAATCGACTCTTCACTTGGTACTCCGCCTCAGAGGAGGAATGCAGATCTTCGTCAAGACACTCACTGGAAAAACCATCACACTCGAAGTCGAAGCCTCCGACACCATTGAGAATGTCAAGGCTAAAATCCAAGACAAGGAAGGAATTCCACCAGATCAGCAAAGATTGATCTTTGCCGGTAAGTTGACATATGCATTTTCATGAAGCTCGAATACTAATTTTTTCTTTTCAGGAAAGCAGCTGGAGGACGGTCGCACTTTGTCCGACTACAACATTCAGAAGGAGTCGACTCTTCACTTGGTTCTCCGTCTTCGCGGAGGAATGCAGATTTTCGTGAAAACTCTTACTGGAAAGACTATCACTCTTGAGGTTGAAGCCTCGGACACTATTGAAAACGTCAAAGCCAAGATCCAGGACAAGGAAGGAATTCCACCAGATCAGCAGCGATTGATTTTCGCTGGTAAGTTGTAAAATCGAAGTAGCAAGTATTAATCAGAAAATTTCAGGAAAACAGCTTGAGGATGGACGTACCCTCTCGGACTACAACATCCAGAAGGAGTCTACTCTCCACTTGGTGCTCCGTCTCAGAGGAGGAATGCAGATCTTCGTCAAGACATTGACCGGAAAGACGATCACCCTCGAAGTCGAAGCTTCGGACACTATCGAGAATGTCAAAGCCAAGATCCAGGACAAGGAAGGAATCCCACCAGACCAGCAGCGATTGATTTTCGCTGGTAAGTTGTAAAATCGAAGTAGCAAGTATTAATCAGAAAATTTCAGGAAAACAGCTTGAGGATGGACGTACCCTCTCGGACTACAACATCCAGAAGGAGTCTACTCTCCACTTGGTGCTCCGTCTCAGAGGAGGAATGCAGATCTTCGTCAAGACATTGACCGGAAAGACGATCACCCTCGAAGTCGAAGCTTCGGACACCATCGAGAATGTCAAAGCCAAGATTCAAGACAAGGAGGGAATTCCACCAGACCAGCAGAGACTCATCTTCGCCGGAAAGCAACTCGAGGATGGACGTACTCTTTCCGATTACAACATCCAAAAGGAGTCTACTCTCCATCTCGTTCTTCGCCTCCGTGGAGGTATGCAGATCTTCGTCAAGACGCTTACCGGAAAGACTATCACCCTCGAGGTCGAAGCTTCGGACACTATTGAGAATGTCAAGGCTAAGATCCAAGACAAGGAAGGAATCCCACCAGATCAGCAACGATTGATCTTCGCTGGAAAGCAGCTTGAGGATGGACGTACCCTCTCGGACTACAACATCCAGAAGGAGTCCACTCTCCACTTGGTGCTCCGTCTCAGAGGAGGAATGCAGATCTTCGTCAAGACTCTGACTGGAAAGACCATCACTCTCGAAGTCGAAGCTTCTGACACCATCGAAAACGTTAAGGCCAAGATCCAGGATAAGGAAGGAATCCCACCAGACCAACAGAGACTCATCTTCGCCGGAAAGCAATTGGAAGATGGTAGAACCCTGTCGGATTACAACATCCAAAAGGAGTCAACACTCCATCTTGTCCTTCGTCTCCGTGGAGGTATGCAAATCTTCGTCAAGACTTTGACCGGAAAGACCATCACTTTGGAAGTCGAAGCTTCGGACACTATTGAGAATGTCAAAGCCAAGATCCAGGACAAGGAAGGAATCCCACCAGATCAACAAAGATTGATCTTTGCTGGTACGTTACAAAATAAACAACTTTGAATTCTATTCTTTTTTTTTCAGGAAAGCAACTCGAGGATGGTCGCACTCTTTCCGACTACAACATTCAAAAGGAGTCAACACTCCATCTCGTTCTTCGTCTCCGTGGAGGTATGCAAATCTTCGTCAAGACTTTGACCGGAAAGACCATCACTTTGGAAGTCGAAGCTTCGGACACAATCGAGAATGTCAAGGCCAAGATCCAGGACAAGGAAGGAATCCCACCAGACCAGCAGCGCTTGATCTTTGCTGGAAAGCAGCTCGAGGACGGACGCACTTTGTCCGACTACAACATCCAAAAGGAGTCGACCCTTCATCTCGTTCTCCGTCTTCGTGGAGGAGATATGTAAATTCATTCACCCAACTTGTTCCCTCCCCGATCTCTGTTCAATTCAAGTAACCATTATTTATTCCGTATTCCTCTCGGAATATTTGTATTTATCTGAACGAGCTCTGAATAAAGTCATTTTCGTGTAAAGCAGTTATTATTCTAACAACAACAAAAAACAAATTGAACCTAAATACTACAAACAAGAATGAAAAACATGTTCAGATATTCGCTTCTCCAATCAGTTGCGCTCTTAACGTTTGCGAATTTGCTTCGGTGATCAAAACTTTGGCATATTGTCCCGGTTTCACAATGTCTTCTGGGTTTGGGAACACTGTTTTGACACCACCATCGATCCTTCCATATGAAAAAGTTGCATCTCTCCGCGATGTCTGAAAAGAATTATTAGAAAATCGAACATAAGACATTTTGACTCACTCCTTCCCGTAAAACAATCTGCTCTGTTCCAATAAGTGTCTGATTAAGTTTGAGAGCTTCTTCTCGGAACACTGTCGTCAAATCAAGATGTCGCTGTGCTTTCACCTCTTCTGGAACGTCATCTGCTAGTCGGTGGTGTGCTCGAGTCTTCTGGAAAATAGAAAAACTTGACGGTGGTTGATTTTCTAATAGTAAGACTCACCCCTCTCATACTATACGGGAACACAAAGCAGAACGAGTAGCCGACTTGTCGAATCAATGAAAGTGTCATCTGATGAGCTTGCTCAGTTTCTCCACAGAATCCCGCAATGAAGTCGCTAGTCAGGAAGACGTCTGGAATTATACAGATGCTCTTCAAATAAGCGAAAAAAACCTACTTGGTAGAATCTTTCGAATATCATCCACTAATCGAAGGTACAAATCCCTTGTATATCCTCTGCCCATTCGTTCCAACGTGTCATCGTCTCCACTTTGTGCTGGAAGATGTAGCTGTTTGCACAGATTCGGACGAGATGCGATCAATTCGATCAACTGCATTGGAAAGTCTTTTGGATGAGGTGATGTGAAACGGAATCGAACTTCTGGAGCAGCATCGGCAACTTGTTCGAGGAGACTTGTGAATGTTAAGCCGCCGGTTTTCGGTCTGAAATTCCTAATGTTTTGTGGCTGGGATTTTGAACTCACTTATAGACAGTCTTGAATCCAGGGACCCTATCTTCTGAAGACGTCGATGGAGAAATCGTCAAGTCTCGATAGCTATTCACATTCTGGCCGAGAAGGGTGATCTGTTTGTATCCGTCGTCTCTTAACCGGCGAACTTCCTCAACGATCGATTCGATGGGACGACTTCGTTCACGTCCTCTGGTGAATGGAACGACGCAGTAGGTGCACATGTTATCGCATCCACGCATGATGGAGCTGGAAATCGGAAAGGTGCGACGGATTCAAGGCTTGAAGACTTGAATTTCAAGTCTTATTCGACTCACATGAAAGCAGTTTTTGTGGCAGCATCGACACGAATCGGTTGCACATCTGCATACGTTTCATCAAGAGACAGCTGAACATTGATGGCGTTGGAGCCACCAGCGGCGATTGCAACCAGGCGAGGAAGATCACGGTAGGAATCGGGACCTGGGAAATTGAAATTCAGATGTCTGTTACTTGAAAATCAATAGTAATATCAATGACTTACCGGCGACAATGTTCACCAAATTCCGTTTTGCCAATAAGTCGTGCCGCACCCTTTCAGCCATACAACCTGCAATTCTTCAATTCTATTATTTTTTTTAGAATCAAATATCCCACCCAGAACTCCGACAATCTGCGACTTATTCACCGAATTCGACCTAATCAATTTCAAGTGATTCCAAACTTTTTTCTCTGCTCCATCTCGAATCGAGCACGTCATCAAAAGAACGACATCTGCTTTTTCCTTTTTCTCACTCTCCACAAACCCATACTGTGTCATGATAGACCGCACGATTTCCATATCACTAACATTCATTTGACAACCGTAAGTCACATAGCAAACTGTTCTTCCGTTTCCTTTCAAGTCTTCTGGATTTAGATATTCTTTTGTGTCTTCTATAGATGGAATGATCTGTTTCATTCGCTGCTTTTTTGTTCCTTCTTTGATGAAATCGGATAACTGGAGACCGTCTTCAGGAATCGATCTTTTCGGTTTAGAAGATGTAATGCATCCGGAGTGTGCTCGGGAGAATTGGGAGCATGCTGTAGCTCCACGAAGCCACCATTGTCGCAGCATTCTTGAAAAAATTTAAATTGCAACTTTTAATTTTTTTTATTAAAAATCAGGAATTCCGACCATTTTCGGAACGAAATTCCAAAGACTTTTCTGAACTAGAGACTACAGTATGTCAAAGGCGCAAGCGAAAAATTCTCGCGCGGGTCTCGAGCGGAATCACTTTTAATTTTTTTTGCGCTTTTTTTTTTCATTTTAAACGTTTAAAGCCTATGTTTTTGCGTTTTTGCGATCGGAAAGTGGAATTTCTATTTTAAAATTTGAATTTTCAAGTAATTCTGACAACTCCGAACTCTTGAAACTCGGAATTTTCGACATTCCGACGATCTCAAAAATAAAAGCTGTTCATAAACGGATTCAATTCAAACAAAAAGCTAATGAACCAACAACCGTTTTATTAATTCAACTGAGCAAAAAGAGTGGGCGAGAAGACATGTATAAAATAGAAAAGAACACAGAAGACCGAACCAGAATTGCAAAACTAACTAGAAAAAAATAATAAATATTTACAACAACAGAAACTCAACAGACTATAAAATAACCTAAACCAACTTTTTATGAGTTTTATTAGAAATTAAGTTAAGGACACCGCCAACAAGATGAAGACTTCCAGTGACTATAACAAGGACCTCTTGAGATGAAGCCTGCTCTTCTATGAATTCAAAAGCAGTGGATATGCAATCGAAAACCTTCATTTGATCTTCAGAAACTTTGTGATCCATTGACTCTTTCCAAGACTTTACACATTGCTGAGCCTTGTCCATTTGCTCATCTTTAGAAGCGTTCAAATTTGTGGAGTCGGCTGATTTATCAACGCTTGAGTAGAGTTGGGTTGGACAAGAGACAATTTGAGAGATCCCAAGGGGCTGAAAATAGAAACTATAGCAAATCTATGGACATTCCCAACCTTTAAATACTGAATCAATGTAGATGGACATCTATCAGCTGTACATTGGAATAGTAGAATCTTCTTAACCTTTTCCTTCTTCAAATGAGCAATTTCTTCGGCAGCCCATTCTGAACATGCCTCCATACTTTTCGGAGTATGTGCTCCATCAAGAAGATACGTGATGTTTCCATCAGTAGTCACTACTTGACTTCTTCCCGGCCAACGACACGATTCTATGGCATCACACATCCACAAGGGAACATCGAACCCTTTTCCAGTAATTTCTCTTTTTTCAATCCCCGACAACGCAAATTCACACTTCTCTGACCATACACGAACGAGTTGAAGAGCCAGCGAAATGTTAGAAAATTGATGGATGCCACTGATTCCAGGTGATATCTGACGAGCGAAATGATAGGCGGATACAGGTGGAGCTTCGTAGATTGAGGTCGACTTGTCAGTTGCTCGAGATAGTAGAACCTGAAAAAACGTGGCGCGTTATTTAATGAAATTAGAAAATCGAAAACAAGACATATATTTTAGACGCTTCTACTAGAAAAGATGACAAAATGCTTGGTAAGAACTAACCTCTTCAGCTTCCGGAGTCGTTGGCGAGTAGATTGCCGGCACGCCTTTCTTGAAAATTCCCGCTTTGTGCCACGCGATTTCCGATAGCTTCGAGCCGAGTATAGAGATATGATCGTAGTCGAGAGTAGTGACTCCACAAACTTTTGGTTGTTCAATCACATTCGTACAATCATACTCTCCTCCAATTCCCACTTCGAGAATCACAACTTGAACATTCATTTTTATGAAAATTCGAAAAGCCAGAAGAGTCAAGAATTTGAAATAGGCCGGCATGTTCTCACTGTGCTCCTTCTTGATGATGTCGTATACTGAAAAGATTACTTTGAACTCGAAATTTTATAAAAATCTAACCATGGAAGAACTCCTCTGCAAACGTCTTCTCATCCACTGGATCTCCATCAATTCGAATCCTTTCTCTTACATGAACCAGATGTGGCGAAGTGTAAAGTCCAGTTTTGAGTCCCTGGTGTCTCAGAATGGCTTCCGCATAAGCACAAGTGCTCCCTTTACCCTTAGTACCGCTCACATGGATTATATTCAACGCATTCAGGTCATTATCAAAAATCTTCAATGATTCGAGATATTTTCGGCATTGTGGAAGATTCATCGCCTGCAGATTCTCTCTTTGTCCTCTTAGTTTCTTGATCGTCGCTGCATTTGACTGTAGACTATTGAGGAGACGAACAGCTTCTTCGTAACGAGAGACAGACGATGATGTTACAGCACTTCCACTCGTCATTCTAAGTTGGTTAACACCGCAAGCTGTTGAGGATGTACTTGGGAGGAGTAGTCTGTTAGTTTGAGGTAAAAAACGCATCATTTTTGAGTTAATGAGTTGTTGAGCTACGTAATTTTGTTATTTTCATGCTGCTAACTAGATTTTAGAAGACGGAAAGACGCTGCTTGAAGCATTAAAAAATAAGTTGATAACCTAGTGTCTGCATTCTGCTGTGAGAGTGTGCGCTACTTTGCGCGTAAGCGAAAAATTCAGAGAACAAGCACATCGTTTTTTCGCCTTTTTCTACTGAATGCGTGCGTTTTCTCAGCAAGTGGCACGGATTTTCAATTTCTACAATAGATTTCGAATCTAACAAGTACAAAACCAATGAATTTCAAACAAAAAACAAAACAACTAACCTAGTCGGTTGATAATGAATGAATCGAGAAACGACACCAAATGAACGTATAATAGACATTGGGGGCACTGATGCATGTGATAACATGACACAGTTCGATCATAGATCATTAAGAGATGTGTCCGCAGAAGGACATCCATTTTCTCATATCACTTCCTCTCTGATTTATATGTTTGTTCAGTTCCGAACCGCTCTCAGCTGTCTATCTCTTTTCCCTCGTTCCATCATCCCCTTCGTCATATGGCTGCCAAAGTTCCGCTCTTCTTTTTTTATTCTTTTTGGTTCAGTTGTTTTCTTTCCAGATTGGATACTAACCTCTTCTTTTTCCTCTTCTTTTTATCGATTTATGAATGTTTTATTCTTTTTTCAGGCCTTCTAAACGGGTCGATGAGTCGATTTTCAAGGTTAGGAAGGTGCATTTTCGCTAATGGAAGAAGATTTGAAAGTCGTCAATCAAGATTACAGTTGCAAGGTAATATAAATCGTAGATCTTATAATTTAGTGAAAGTTAGATGACGCCAAGGTTACAAAGTTCTTGAATGTCTGCTGTAAATGTCGGAATTCTGATCAGAATACAATTTCAAATCGCAACCTTCTAGCTAATTCTTGGAAATGCTAACTAATTTCGATGAAATTCGAAATTCGTCGTGCTCGAATTCTAGTTGACAGTTTAGAAGCTCATAAAAAGTTATAGCTGTAATAGAGGTTACTGGATTCCGATAAGAAAACTTGCATAAAAGCCTGAACTGAAGATCTTTGTCTTGAGATGCGTCTCGTGGTGTCTATTCAGGTTACGACACATGTCTAGCACACGAGGTTTTTTCTTGAAAGCTGCCTGAATTCTTTTTCAAAAAATTGTCTACATTATCTCCCCATGCCAGGAAAACAGCAAAAAACTGGTTTTCCCAATCATCATTCATCAAAATGTGTTTTTTTTGTGTTGATTTTGTCGAAAATCACCGAATTTTTGAAAAACTACAGTAGTTCAAAGGCGCATGCCTACAAATGTGGTTGAGGGTATCGAGTGGAAATTGGAATTATTTTCGATTTCATTAATTTTTGACTAAAAAAATGTTTTTTTTTTCATCGAAAAGTGTCTTTAGTGTAGACTTTGTTAAAAATCGTCCGAATTCCTAGTTATTCATTCGGAAAACATCAGAATATTCTACAGAATCCCAAAATTTCAATTTTTCAAATTTTTTCTAAAAACCATACTTGTAACGGGCCGGGCCGGGCTTTTTCCCGAATTTCGGAGGCCCGGCCCGGCGGGCCTGTCATTCCACAAGTTTTGAAAATTTTAAAAAACACATAAGGGGGGACCCTTATTTGATTTTTTTTCGATCAAAAATTTTTTTTCGAGTTTTTTTGATATTTTTTGATCAAACAGACAAACAATCCAAAAACACAAAAAATAATGGAGAAAATTGTATTGAGAGCTCAAAATTTGGCTCAAAATGACAAAATTTTTGCTACCGGGCCTTCCGGGCCGGGCCCGGGTCTTGAAAATTTCCTCAGGCCCGGGCTTTGGCGGGCCGGCCCGGAATTTTACAAGTATGCTAAAAACTACAGTAGTTCAAAGGCGGAGAGC